GAATAATAATCCTTGCATTTGATATAGTGCCTTTTCATGTCTTTGAGACATCTCAAAGCACTTTACAGAATATAATATAAAGTGAATTGACTACATATTTTGTGAACAAAATGTGGGTGCCAATTGCGCACAGCAGTATCCCACACACAGTCCTGGATTGAGTGACCATATATTTTTTAAAGGGTTTAGTATTCCTGGAAAAGCGATCCGCCATTCAACTAACAACCTGGTTCGCCCACAAAATATACAGTCAATTCACTTTATATGTATTCTGTGGTGCTTTGAGATGTTTCGAAGACATGATAAGGCGCTATATCAAATGCAAGGATTATTATTATTACTTACTGCTAGGTAAACAGAGGCATGTGGAGTAAGGAAGCTTGCCCTACGTTTTGCCCATCGCGGGAATCAAATCCAGGACCTCTCACTTGCGAGACGAGTGCTCTAACCACTAAGCTACAGGGATCCACAAATAAAGTAAACAGAGGCGTGTGGAGTAAGGGAACTTGCCAAAGATTTCGCCCCGCCCAGGAATCGAATCTGGGTCCTCTTACTCACTAGTCAAATGCTCTAACTACAATGCTACAGGCTTTTACCTGACAATCCTGAGCTCCTTTGGGGAGTCAGTCCGCCACTTGTGAAAACTGACCTGATAGCAACACGTAGCAGGAGATTTAATGACACCTACCACTTTTTGCAAATCTGGTTTGTCTATTCTATCTTCTATAAATCATGACTCATCATTGTGGTTGACCACATCTCATTCCTCCAGACTTTTGGACACTAAACTCTTAGACTAAGTATCTGCCATGACTCCCTAATCAGGCACAACAGCTGTCAGCTCACGGCCAGGTGGACATGGCATCAAATCTGCCAAATTGACCAGAGGGTTTGCAAATAACGGGTCCTGTAACACATAGGCATCAGGAGCTTCTATTGGCCGCAATCCAGCATTACCGAAATAGAAAATGAGGTAGACCTCCTACAGGGAGTCCTGTAGCTCAGTGGTTAGAGCACTTGCTTTGCAAGCAAGACACCTGGGTTCAATTCCAGGCAGGGCGAAACCTTGGGCAAGTTTCCTTACTCCACACAGAGCCTAATAATAATCCCTCCAAAAACCCAAAACAATAATAAATTGGTCATTTTCAATCTACGACTGTTTGTGGGACATTGCTGTGCGCAATTGGCTGCCGCGTTCGCCCACAAATATACAGTCAATTCACTTTACAGTATATTCTGTGAAGCGCTTTGGGACGTCCTCCCGACGTGAAAAGCGCTATATCAAATGCAAGGATTATTATTATATTATTATTATTGTTATTGGATTTGTGGCTCACAAATAGCAGCTACCAATATTCCAGCGATTCGACAAACAAACTATCAAAACAACAACAACAAATTACTTTTGTACATCGCCTTTCATTTCAGGAGGACATCCCAACTCTGCCATCATGACCCAATGTCCTCATTTAAATTGGTTCTTGAACATCTTTATCCAGTGCTTGTAATTATCTCATGAGAAACACTGAGTATTTTCACACGTTTTGATACAGAGTAAAACCCATCTATATGATGTGTTCTCTGGCAATGGCTAAATGGGTATATCACAGAGAGATTGAGGTCTCTGCACTGTTGTCATGTCACCAACATCCGGTGGTCTGCACCACATAGAGCTGCTGACAGTTCAAGATGCGCTCTTCATAATTCAGCCACAAAATACAAAAGTCAGAACACACATTTACAATTGTCCTGTGAAGCTCTTTTTAGATATCCTTCCAGCATGAAAGTGCTACATCAAGTACAAGGATTATTATTTCTCACAAACTGCAAAGTGACTCAAATTATAAAACAATGACAAATTGCATTTATATAGCACTTTTCACACCCCAAGGAGCTGGTTGGTCAAGGGTTTCCACCCGAGCTGCGGGTTGGAATCAAAAGGGGAATGGGGTGAGAGAATGACTGAAGGCACAGTCAAAGAGGAAAGCCTTGAGATGGGCCTTGAAGGAGGCAAGGGAAGGGGTGAGGTGCAGCGATTCCAGAATGGTGTTCCAGAGGGTGGACGCAGAAAGGCTGAAGGCCTGACTGTTGATGATGAGGCAGGCAGGACTGGGGACATGCAGCAGCATAGATGAGGGTCTTGGCGGCCTAAGTGAGGAGGTGCTGATGGGAGTCAAGCAGGAGGGCCTCAATCTTGTCGACGTTCTACAGGAGAAAGTTAGCTCTCATCAAGGGCTTGATATCTGACAGGCAATCGATCGGGATAGCAGTGGTCCTGGAGTTGAGGGTGGAGGCTGAGAGGTAGAGTTGGGTGTCATCCGCATGCATATGGAAGTTAATGCCTTGTCTGCAGATGATGACAACAAGGGGGAGCATGTAGATATTGAAGATGAAAGGACAGAGGCCTGAGGAAGACTGCCCGTGATCATGCAAGGATTGCAGGAGAAACTACCAGTGGATGCCAAGTGGAGATAATTGGGAAAGGTGAAACCGGGCAAGGGCACAATCAAGAAAGTGGAGCTGAGGGGAGAAGCGGTGGAGAAGAATAGAGTGGCCAACAGTGTCAAAGTCAGCAGAGAGATCAAAAAAGAGCAAGACAGAGAGAGCCGTGATTAAATGTGGACAGAATGTCATTCATAACTTTGACTAGGGCTGTTTCTGAACTGCGCGTTGCAGATCGGAGAGGTTCGTGCAAGGGCAGCGGCAGAGACGAGCAATGTTGCGGAGTTGGGGGAATGAGGGGAGGGAGACAGAATGTGGGGTTTAAAGGACAATTGAGCGTTGAACAAGACACTGATGTTTCATACTGGCTCAGGAAGGTAGAAAGTGCATCCATGAATTTAGGCAGGAGAGGAAGGAGCGAAGTTGGGAAGCAACAGTTCATTCAAGGACCTTGGAAAGAAAGGGAAGGTTGAGGTGGGATAGTAGTTCTAGAACAGAGATGGGTCAAGGGAAGGTTCTTGAGAGTAGCTGTTTTTAACAGAGTGCGAACGGTGCCAGTGGACAAAAAAAAAATAATATTAACAATAATCCTTGCACTTGATACAGTGTTTTTCACGTCTTCTTGACGTCTCAAAGCACTTCACAGATTATGCTGTAAAGTGAATTGACTGTATATTTGTGGGCGAACGCGGCAGCCAATTGCGCACAGCAATGTCCCACAAACAGTCGTGGATTGAAAATGACCAATTTATTATTGTTTTGTTTTGGAGGGATTATTATTAGGGTTGTGGAGTAAGGAAACTTGCCCAAGGTTTCGCCCTGACCTGCCTGGAATTGAACTCAGGTGTCTCGCTTGCAAGGCGAGTGCTCTAACCACTGAGCTACAGGACTCCAAAAGTTGACTGTGTCTGTTAGGAATAATAATAATAATAATCCTTGCATTTGATATAGTGCTTTTCACGTCTTCTAGACGTCTCAAAGAGCTTCACAGAATATACAGTAAAGTGAATTGACTGCATATTTGTGGATGAAACGTAGCAGCAATTAGAGTAGAGGGGCAAGCAGGTGGAACTCGGAGGTAAGGAGAGCAGTAGGAATGCGCTGATGGAGGTGAGAGAAGAGGGGGAGATGGAGTTGAAAGTGTGGGGAAAGTGAGATGGTGGAGGTCGCAAGGGGAGGGGGAGGTGAGGTGGGGGTGGCAGTAGAAATGACTGAGGCAGCAGAGCGGATTCCCTCAATTTAGGACTCAAAGACACTGTGGCTGGTATAATTTATCATGAAGTCCGCTCTTCAAATCCAAACCTACACAAATGTTACATTTTATTGATATCCAACAAGGGTCACGACACTTGAGAGTAATTACTTATGAAGCATTTGAACAATTTTGCATGTATCAAAGGTGAGCATTATTATTTTTGCCCAAGGTATTAAAGACAATTTGACAGCAATGTTTGACCAACACACAAACAGTTTAAAATAATAAATAATTAAACTTTAAGTAAGTGGTTCAGCACTAAAGTGCTGGACACCATATTCTGCCACTCTTGACTCCTGTCCCTTCTCTTACATAACAGCAATCAGGAAACTTTCCAAATCACAAACACATACAGAATTTTGTAAAATTTTTCAATTCAATCTTCAACTGAAAGTCAATTTTCCATTGTTCTTTTACAAAACCGTCTTCCAAATTATGACTGAATTGAGCAATTTTGCAAAACTCTGCACACTCTTAAATTTGAAGACAGCGTTTTTTAAGGCTGAGATGAATGAGAAACGATGAGTTTCTGAAACCGAAACTGAGCTGAAGTACTAGCACTTCAGTTTGCTTTATATCAAGCAACTATTGTTTGATAGGTGTACCAGAAATCAAACAAGGCTGGTCTCTGTGCACAGAACGTACAGATTGCAACACACACACACACAAAGCCAAACACACTTAATTGAATAGGATAGTCCAGATCTATAATATGAAAGTTATGCTTGGTTATGAATTACAAGCAAAGTCTGAAGTAAAATAAATCAGTATTGTATAACTTATGGCAAATAATTGCACAGTAATGGGCTGAACATGCGGTACCACCTTGCTTACTTCCTCTATTGAGTCCGGATGCACATGATTATATTTTTGCAGGGCTCAACTAAGAAACCTAACAGGCAAACTGTCTGGCAATAGGTTCAGACTGATAAGGAATTTACTTATCACATATATAATATATTCGCCTGTAAGCATCGAGACAGGTGTTTGGCCTAAATTAGTTTTATTTCGTGTTTTAGCACTTTGAATAGTTGAAAATGAAAAGGAAATTAATTTGAATGACAAGAAATTCAAATGAAAGAAATTTCAATCAACACAATTTTAGAATTGTAACAGAAAAGTTCTTCATGTTAAATGTGTTGCATCTTACTTTACTCTCTACCTTTTATATTGACCTCCACTCCTTCCTGTCAAATGTGAATTGGCGACATCCTGTTGACTTGAAATTTGACTACTTATTTGCTACCAAGTACCTTTTGGTTAAATTGTACAATTTCAGTTTTGGAGACTGAATAGGACTTACCCACTCCATATCTCTCCCTGACAGTCTGGCTCCAGGGAGCCATGGTTGGCTTAACCCTTCGGCTGGTTTCTTGTCGGGGGAGAGACGACCGTTTTAAACTAAACCACTGGAGCTGAGCTGCCGGAGCAAAATGTTTCAACCTCAGAGTCGCCTCAAAGAACTGACGTCAAAACCAAAGGAAGTGTAGAAGCACTGTCTAATTGCCGGAGGAGACAGAGTAGTGTTTAGTAGATTTGCTGCACATTGCAATTTGTTAATATTAAGATAAATGTAGTTTTCTTTTCTTTAGGTGATTTGGAGACAGCCCCAAAGCAATAAGCTTATACTACGGTATGGCTATATTCAATCACATGCAAATTAGATGTAGGAACAACAAATTACATTTGCGTAGTCAGTGCCTTTCATATCGGGAAAATGGCCCAAGGCACCATTTCTTCAGGGCAGGGATATGTGTGATGTGTTAATTATTGCTCCGAGATGCCATACGGAGTGAAGGTGCTATTTAAATGCAAGTTGTTGTCTCTCTATGATTTAAACTGTGAATTGGCACCAACAAAGACAGCAACCAGAGGATTCAGCGTAAACCACTGTGCTGAGAATCCAGATGGTGGAATGTTCATACCTATGAAGGATGTTAATGTTTGTGGTAACAAATCAACCAGTAAAGTCTCTTTTACAAACTCAAAGCAGCATTTTTTTACTAACATGAACATCAACCAAACCATCACCCACTGGATAAAAATAAAACAAAACAATCCGCAGACTCCACATGGCCATTTCCAGTTGGTTTGTACCTATGACCTTTAACTTACCCACTTACATTTCCTCAGCCAGGTTCCAACCCCCACAGCCCCCACTCCCACCCCAACCCACTATTTGGAAATAAAACACTCCGAGGCTTCTGTCTCAATCCTCGGTCAGTTCATGAACTCGGGTTTCAGAACAAATTCTGGCCACTCTCTTCCACAATACACCCTCAACAACGACAATTTTGCATCAATTCGGTGCCTTTCACATCAGAAGGACATCACAAAGTGCTTCACAGATCGGCTGGGAGCCCCAGCTGGGGGAAGGGGAGCTGAGAAGTGTTTGGGGGGGTGGGGGGGGGAAGGTGACGAAAAGCATAGTCCAAAAGGAAGGTGGGAGGGAGGGAGTGAGGGTTCCACAGGACAAGTGGAATGGTTGGAAGCTCTCCCACCGATAGTCGAGCAAGTCTCACAGGGGACATGAAGCAGGATGGTGTTCACTGAGTAGAAGGAGCGGATGGGGTGATAGATGTTGCAGAAGAAATCATTTTGACATGTGTTTTGCCATCTTGACCTTCACATTCCATTTCTTCCATATCTCCAGAACCTCCTCCCTTCACTGACTCTGGATGGTCTTGAAATGACCTGGACGCTCGTCGCACTGGTGGGTCCTGTCCTACACCAGCATTCTGCACTTTTTTCAGTGCTTGACTGGTGACTGGTCCCATCAAACTCTGGCACCGTCCTACCTTTCCGACCTCCTCATTCTCCAATCCACCACCTGGCTCCTCCGTTCGACTGGCACCGGCCTCCTACTTGTCCCTCGCGTTCTCCACTCCACCATTGGTGGTCGCACTTTCAGCCACAATGCCCCGAAACGCTGGAACACTCTCCCTCAATCCCTCCGCCTTGCCCCCTCTCTTCCCTTTTTCAAGTCACGCCTGAAAACTTTCCTTTTCGAACGTGCTTATGGTCACCTCCCCACCCCCGGCTTGGAGTCAGGTTCCACCACTGTTAAGCGCTCTGAGACGCTACCCTGCATAGAGGGCGCTGTATAAGTGCAAGTTGTCTTTTCTTTTCACAGATTTGTGGGGACACACATACACACAAGCATTTGTACTTAGGCCAGGTCTTTTCATCCCTCAAGTGAAGTCTAACAGTCTTCTTTGACAACAACTAAAAACGTATCGGTAATTCAACATTGGTGGTTTCAGCGATGTGATATAATCGTATCACATGTCATATTTTTCACTCCGTTGCCACCAGGACAATAACATGTATAACCTTAAGGTTCAAATCTGGTTGGGGATCACAGCTTGATGGAACCCTTAGAACCATGAAGATAGAGCACAGACAATCAGAGGGCTTTCTGTTCATCATAATTATTCTTACATTTGATATTATACCTGATCATGCGCTTGAAAGATCTCAAATCACATAACTCAAATTTTGTAAAGTGTAGTATATATTTGTCGGCAAAATAAGCAGCCAATTTGCACACAGCAATGTCCCACAAACAGCCACGAAGTGAGCGACCAATTATATTTGGGAGATTGTTGGCCAGTATACTGGAGAGAGAGAAACTCCCTTGTCTTGTCAAAGGTGGAATCTTAAACGCTCACGATGTGTAAATTACCATGCAGGCAGGACGTCAGTTTAATACAGATCCTTCTCTTATACAATCAGTTTCTGTTGCACTCTTTTGTAAGAATGGTGTGACTTACCTTACAGAAAAAAAGGCTTAAAACGACTATTGCGTAGATAACACTTCCTTTTTATCGCAGCAACTTAGAATGAGATTTCCACATGTCCCACTTTATTCTTTCCTTCAGTCGAGATACAGGATGAGGGAGCACTGGAATGAAGATTGACATAAAACCAATCTTTGATAAAAATGAACTGTTAAAAAGTGGTGTGTCGTGTTATCCTCAGTTGTCAGGCTTTGACTCCTTCATATAATACTTCTATTACTTATAGACATATTTGCATTTGCAAATCTTAGGAGCCATGTTAATGTTTAAAGAAGGTAATTTGTGATTGCGAAAGCCATAGAATTGGCCAAAATGTAATAAATCAATTACATTTGCACATGTCATTCTCAAACATTGAAATGTATATGTGCAGATCATTTCCTCCTGACTCAGGTGTCAGTACCTTTAGGGCATAATAAATGAATGCTTACTCTTTGGAAAATGTTACTTGGTGTGTGGGAGACTGCTTATTGAATTCCAATATTTTAATGATACCTTTCATTTGTCACAATGTGTGAGAATTAGTGATGTTATCAGGACACTGTGTAGATATTAGTGCATTGGATTGAAATAAGGGATCGTGCGACTCTTTTTAATTGAGATGTGATCAAGTAATAAACGTATTTTACGTTCTCGAAAGCTGCGCTTGTGTTCTTTATTGGAAGTTTGAGGGAGGAAGGAGGAGAATTGTTTTGTTCCTCAGTACCGGGCATGGAGAACGCAGAACGATGCATGACGCAATGTAAAGGAGGAAATGGCTAAAGGCTTGATACACTTTCTTAGCTGAGCATGATCATGACAACATAAAAGCTCATGGAAGAATATAGAAACGCAGCAACATAGGAACAGTAATAGGCCATACAGCCCCTCAAGCTTGTTCCTCCATTCTATCGGATCATGGCGTATCTGTACCTATTACCCGCTCTTGGCCGATATCCCTTAATACCCTGACCTAACAAAAATCTATTCACCTCAGTCTTGAAAAATTGAATGGATCCAACTTCCACAGCCATTTGGGGGGAGAGAGTTCCAGATTTCCACTACCTTTCGCGTGAAAAAATGCTTCCTGATTTCATTCCTAAATGGCCCAGCTCTAATTTTAAATTAATGCCCCGTTATTCTGGATTCCTCCACCAGAGGAAATAGTTCCTTTGAGCTACCCGAGTGAATCCCTTCATCATTTTAAACACGTCAATCAGATTAAGTTGATGCAATCTGTCCTCATAATTTAACCCTTTAAATATAAACCCTGGTAATATTCTGATGAACCTCCGCCACATCCCCTCCAGGACTAATATATCTTTCCTGAGGTGCGATGCCCAAAACTGAACGCAGTACTCCAAATGGGGTCTGACCAAGGCTCTACACAGCTGAAACATAATTTTCTCTCCTTTATATTCAAACCCTCTTAATGATAATAATAATTATAATCATTGCATTTGATATAGCGCCTTATCACATCTTTGAGACATCTCTCAAAGAGCTTCACAGAATATACTATAAAGCCAAGAATTGGCTGTAATTTTGTGGATAAAACGTGGCAGTTAATGCTGCACAGCAGTGTCCCACAAACAGTCATGGATTGAGTGACCAAATTTCAAAATTTTTATTAAAAAATTTTTTGAAGGGATTATTACCCCCAGAAAACGATCCACCAATCGACTAATAACCAGGTTCCTACTTATTGCTAGTTAAACAGAGACGTGTGGAGTAAGGAAATTTGCCCAAGGTTTCACCCTGCCTGGGAATCAGATCCAGGTCCTCTTGCCTGCGAGGCAACTGCTCTAACCACTACGCTACAGGACTCCCATGAGAATAAAGACCAACTATTCTTCACCTCTCCCTTTCACAATGATGCTGTTTATGCAAAGTCTGTATGCAAATGCCCGTGCATTTTTTTCTCGTACAAGTATTTGCATTTGGCTCAGCAGATATATTGAGAAGGTTCAATGTTTGGTAAGATGAATACATTTAAAACTACAGCCACCCAACTGTCAACATAGCCTGTAGCCAAAGTGAAAGCTTTGTACGTTGAAGGCACAGGAGATATACTTTGGGTTTGCCATTATAATCATATCTTTGAAGATCATTAGAAACATTACAAACATTCAGTATTTCTCTTTAACTATCCAAAGCTGAAGTCCCAAAACTTTAAATATGTTGGCTGGACTGTGTACCCACCCCACTAATTTTCACCCACCCATGAGGCCCAAAGTTTCACGTTAGGCTGCAAAACTATTTAAAATTAAGATTCCAGAGAACTGTGTCAAATTCTTAAAGTCAGTTATGATTTGGAAGCTAGACTTTGCGGTTCTGAAAGAGAAACAAATTCCAAATGACGAGTGAATTTTAAAATTGCTTTCCACAATCTGTGCAATCTTGCATTTTAAGATGCAATGGCCTTGCACAGTAAGGCCAGGTGGGGGAATCTGGGCTTTCTGTTCTTGCCAGGCTTCATAATAACAATTACAAGAGTATAAAACACAAAACACACAGTCAATTCACTTAACAGTATATTCTGTGATGCGCTTTGAGACGTTTCGAAGATGTAATAAGGCACTATATCAAATGCAAGGATTATTATTATGAGAATGTGACCTGCTCCCAGGCCTTTGCCAGTGCTGCTCTAAGGTACAAAATAGACCATAGATAATTTCAGGCCCAGTAAAGACCAGTGATCTGATCTGCCCCCAAATTTCTAAATATCATACATGACTTTCT